GGCCCGTTCTCCATTCCTGCCTCGACCCTCGCTCCTCCCTCTCTCACCCCTGCACCATCGGCCCTCCCTCCTTCCTCCTTCCTCCCATTCGCTGTCCTTATTTCCTCCCTCGCCTTCTCCCTCCTCCCTCCGGTGGTGTTACCTACCTCGGCCCTCTGTCCTCCCTCGCTTCGTGCTTTCTTATCTGGGGACGATATAAAGAGTGCATTCCTTTTTTCTTAGCTTTTTCAATTTGCGTTAAGGCTGAGCGCCATTTTTTTTCAATGTGAATAAGGCCGAGCGTGTGCTCTCGCGCGTGCGGTCGCACATAGACGCACACAGCGAGGGGTGTGGATGTGTGGGGGGGGGGGAAGAGAGAGAGAGAGAGAGAGACAGAGAGAGTTGACTCAGTGTGGTGTGTGTAGGGATTGGGGAGGAAGAGAGTGAAATATGGAAAGAAATATCGATAGCCTGAAATACCTGGCGCAGGGCAGTTAATCATGAGGCCGCTCCAAAAAGAAAAGACCGAGGGAGAGTGTTGAGGAGGAAGAAGACGTGGTGGTGGAAGAGACAGACAAGAACAAAGAAGGTGCGAGGAAGGAAGTGTGTTGGCTGAAATGCGTTTATCTCTCTCCTGCTTTCCCTCTCTCCTTCTTGCGCGTGTGCAACAATGTTGAGATCTTAAAAGAAATGGAGCGATCTTGATAACAAACGACGCTTTACGTCCAAGGATAAAGGAAAAGAAGTATTTCTTACGTCGGGCGTTACGAAGGAAGGGCGGCCGGTCGAGGGAGGAAGGGGCAGGTAGGGAGTAGGACGGAGGGAGGAATGGAAGTAGGAGGTCAGGTGGTGATTGGGCTGAGGAAGGAAGGGGAGGGAGGCGATCGAGGGAAGGAGGTCAGACAAAGATCAGGCAAACGAAGGGGGCGAGCGAAGGGGAATGACGCGGTCAGGTGGACGGAGGCCAGAGGAGGTTGAAGAGAAGGTGCGGAGGAGGCCTGTAGGGAGGGGGAAGGCGACAGAGAGTAGGGCGGAAGCAGGAGGTCAGGTGGAGACCGGCCCAAGGAAGGAAGGGGAGGAAGGAGATTGGGGGAAGGAGGTCAGTGCAAATCGGGCGGAGGGAGAAGGACGGAGGAGATAGAGGGAAGGAGGTCAGGCGAAGATTGGGCGAAGGAAAGGGAGTCAGGTGGCCAGGCGAGGGAGGGCAGAGGGAGGTTAAAGAGAAGGTCCAGAGGAGGCCGGAAGAAAAGGGAGGCGGCAGGGAGAAGTAGGGCGAAGGGAGGACAGAAASCAGAACGTAGTTCAGAGGTTGAGTGACGTATGGAGGAAGGGAAGAGGTAAGGGGGAGACGAGCATGGGAAAAAGCGTGAAGAGGAAGAGG